CAAGGAGAGGGAAACAACTCCCTAGATCATGCTATGAGGTAGCAAGAGATTCAAGTGAGCTGGGCATGGTGGTGCAGGCCTATAATCCCAGTGGCTCCGGAGGCTGAAGCACGAGGATCGTGAGTTCAAAGCCAGCCTCAGCATCTTATCAAGGCCCTGAGCAACTCAGTGAGACCCCGTCTCTAAATAAAATATAAAAAAAGGCCTGGGATGTGGCTCAGTGGTCAAGCACCCCTGGGTACAAAAAAAAAAAAAAAAATGCAAGTGGAAGTGGGATGTGTCCCAAAGAACCAGTGAGTGACTGCTATCCAGCCTGGAGGAAGGGGTCCCTCCAGAACTGTGTCTGCCCTCATGAGACACTAGGATGAGTGGGAAGCAGGCTGGGGACTGTCCTGGAGGACTTGGGGCTAAGAGACATGCCAGTTCCCCTGACATCCTTCTGTTCACCAGCCCGGATCCCGTCCTCGATCAGGATGGAGAATTTGACTTGGATGAGACCATGGATGTCGCCCGGCACGTGGAAGAACTCTTACGCAGGCCCATGGACAGTATCGACCCCCGCCTCTCCCCGCCTGCTGGTCTCTTCACCTCTGCCAGAAGCTCCCTGTCGTGAATATTTGAATGCCACGCTTCTCTTTGGAAACAATATTCAATGTGGAGACTCCGTTCCAGGTGTCGTCGCAGCACTGCTGTGTGTACTGATGCCTTTGTGTGCATGTGTTTGAGTACGAGGTGTGCCCACCTCGCCCTTGAGTGGCTGAAGCAGTGGTGGCCTTTTGGTTCAGATCAAGACCTCCAGGAGCCCAATGGGTCTGTCTGTCTCATGCAAGAGATGGAGCTTCTGTCATTGTAGGTACTCGTTGCAGGCAAACCTCTTCCTCTCATGTCCTTTATCTGCTAGTAGCTATTTAAGTGAAATTGTTCCAGAAAAGGAAAGGAGACAGGTAAATGTTCAAAGCTGCAGTTTTACTCCTGAGCTAGAAGCTTCGCCCTCCTGATGCCTGTGCCCATATATGTACACAGATGTGCATCTGTCCCCATGCACATATGGTGGTCTAACTGATGCTTTCTCTCCAGAGGGAGGTGGAGGTTCATTCTTGATATTTCATAATGTAGTGAATGTGGACTCCAGGTTTTTTGTGAGCTCTCTGAAAGCATGTCTAGGCCGGAGCCATTTCCTAACACAGTGAAATGGGTTCATTTGAACCAGAGCTATTGGAGCTGCTCTGAGCATGTAGTGTCTTGGCCTCTTGTACTTGAGTCCAGGCTGTGGGGTTCCCTGCAATATCCCTTTTTCCATCCTGCCCTGGGCTTCTTTCCCTGCCTCTGTTTATAACCTTGCTGATGAGAAAGGAGGAAAAAATTGTTTCAGGACACAGTGGGTGAACAGAAGGCCTGAGATTTGCAAGGCTGATGCCATCCCCTGGGGAGAGGGGAACTGCAGCAAGGGACAAGCTGCCACCTCTCAGTTGCTGCAGGCCCATGGAGTCTAGAGTGAAAGGTTAGAGCCGCTCCACTCTGCTAGGAGGTGGAATCTGGAACAGGCCTCATGTCCAGAGAAGGCCTCACTCCAGTCTCAAGTGCTCCTCCAAGGTTACATGACATGCAGCAGAGATTGGGAGTCCCAGGTTTAAACCTCTCTGAAGGGAAGTGGGGACGGAAAGATGGATTCTTTTGTACTTTGTACATAGACCACACATTTGTGTAAACAGTGTTTTGGAATAAAATATTTTCATAAATTTTCTGGTCTTCCTCCTGGTTTGGGGGACTGATGGTGGTCTCCCTGGCTGATGACAGTCACTAGAGCTGGAGTTGTTTCGTTCCTATGTGGTCTATGCTGTAAGTTTTAGCCTGAGACCGCAACTCTGCTCCCCTCTCTGTCTACTCTAGGAGTCTGACCGCCCCCAGAATACTGTCAATGCTTCTCAGGGGGCTACAGCAATAGGTAAGGGGGCACACATGCCCAAGAACGCAGAGGCTTGAGGTCTAGAGAAAAGAAGGGGCAGGACTCACTGGGGGAGGGGGCCCATAGGATGGGCAGAGCTGAGCTCTAGGCCCCTCTTTTATCCACTGCTGCTAAGAGCAATCTTGAAGCTGGCATCTGAGGGCCAGTGTCAAGGTGATTGTCAACCCTCCTGGGGCCAAGGCAGCTGAGAGCCAGTAGGAAAGTCCATCCTCCCCAGGCCTCTTCCCAGAGACCAGCAGGTGGCACCATCCAACTGCCGCGCTGGCCTGAGCATGAGGAAGGCTGGCCAGGGAGGAGACAGGACCAGCTTCCCTCCTGTAGGCTTCCTAGTCCCCAGCTGTGGTCAGTCTAGGAGGTGAGGCTGGGGCCTTGGACTTGGGTGTGGGGTCGGGTAGGGAAGTAAGGAACTGTGGGCAAGTTTATTCAGAACTCAAAGCAGGGTTGGGGGCAGGGGCTTACAGTCTGTCCCAGGGAGGTGCAGGGGCCCAGAGCAGGCTGGCAGGCGGGGTAGGAGGTGGGGGTGGGAGGGAAGGCAGGCGCCACCACCCGCCCCAGCCACACTATCTCTGGTTGCATCTCTGCAGGGGAAACGCAGTATCTCACACTGGCTCTGTTTTCATGGCACTGGGGCCGTGGGTGGGGGCAGGGGGGACGCTGATGCAGAGCCAGCACTGGTGTTGGTGGCCTTTCCCTGAATTATCGCCACTGACCGCCCAGGGGCCCCACAGCAACCAGCTAGTGAAATGTCTGTGTGTCGTTCCCACTGAGTGAACTGAAGAGAAGGCGATAATGGGCAACTGTAGCCAAAGGCCTTGGGAGGGAATCTACACCCCAACCCCCCTTTAGGTAGCTTATCGGACCCCAGACAGGACACAGCAGCTTTGGGAGGGAGGAGAGAAGAGAAGAGGGAAAGGGCTGCTCTGACACCTTTGTGTCACTGGACTATGACCCTTTGCTCCTGGGTTACATCTCACCTGGAGGCTGGTGGCTAACATAAGATGGGGGGCCAGGCATCACCTCAGGAATGAGAGGTGAAGGGAATCTCAGTCCTGGAGCTGGGGCCTCTTCCTCCCAAGGCCCTCTTGCTCCTACCCCAGCTGGGCCTGAGTGGAAGACCCCTCCAGACAGAAGCAGGGCAAAAGGAGCCTCGTCAGCACAAAGGGAGATGCCACGCTATCAGACGGTTCCTATATAATTTTTATTTCTGGAAGTTAAAGTAGATACAGCAATATACAAAAAAAAAAAAAACACAATAATATAAATTTTTACACTAGGAAGTATACATTGGAATTTGAATGCAGTGGCTAGGGACAGCAGCTTACAAACCACGGGAATTCCTTGGCTTGGCTGGGGACCGGCAGGGGACAATAGACAAAAAATGGGCAGGTCCTGAGGACTCTGTTTTTTGAAGGGGGGGCCAGAATAAGACTCAGCTCCTGTCAGAACTTTTGCTATATATAATCAGTTAAAACCAGACAAGCATGCTACCTAAAGCCATGAACTTTATAATACTTGTTCCAGAGAAGCCCAAGCCCTTGCCCTAGGTCCCTAGGGATTAAACCCAATGGTAAGCCCCAGCCTCACCTTTCTACATATTCTCTCAGTTTATGAGTTCAGCTTATTGTGTACTGAAGAGTGTTACTGGAAAAGGGAAAGGAGGCTCCCTACACAAATAACCATCTTGAGGCCAGAGGACACAGGTGGTCGAGGCAAGCCCTGTTCATCTTCACCCCCTTGATCCAGGCTATAGTTAATCTGGGTCTAACAAACAGAATTCTAGACAATCTGATCAACTGAGGCAAGGTGGTTTTGAGTCACCAAATCCAGCTATGTATGCCTCTTGGTCAGAGAAGGCCCATGTCGCCAGCTGCTAAGCGTTCCAAAATGCAGGGCAGAGGTGTGCTGACAGGCTGAGGCAGGCACTGACAGAAAGGCCAGAGCAGGTGCAGGCATTCTCATTGTTCTGCCTCACCCGGGGGCCCCAGAGGGGGCAGACAGTCACCAGCTTTGGGGGAGGCCAGGTGTGCACACCTCACAGGAGGGACAGGCCTTGATTTTATCAGTCAGCCTTGGCCCTATATTAACAAGTGAAGAAGGGGCACAGGTGCCTTTGGATGTCACCAAGAAACTGGGATAAGAACCATATTCCCTGAGCTCAACTAGACACTTTGTTGGGGACCTGGAGTCTGAGTCATGTTCAACCTACAACTTCTCTCTTTTATCTCCTGAGGTCCCAAGACCAGGATTCCTAAAACAAATGGGACAGGGGTCCTTTAGACGAGGGAAGGAGCTGTGTAACTAGCAGGGATCTGTGGGAAAGGAAGCCAGCGGGATCCTAGGCCTGATAAGGAATACGCAGGAACAAGCTGGCTCTGAAACAAGGGCCAAAGTCCAAAGAGAAAGGGAGCAAGGATTTTCAGGCCCCCTCCCAGCCTTACCCTCTAGCAGGCCAACACACTCCAAGGAAAATAAAATAACAAGAGTCTGGGATGTTTGGTTCTCCTCAACCCTCCCAGTTCAAACCCAATAGCCACGCCATAGCTTCGATGTCTTTAAAGGGTTTGACTGATACCCATTTCAGGGTTTATATAAATTATCAGCTTGAAGATAGCTGAATGCTTAAAGCACCAAGGAGGCCATTAACTGAGTCTTCTTAAATGCAGAAAGGCTATGCTGCTACAGTGTGTTTTGCCCTTTAATTATTATTATGTTTTTAATTTAAAAGAAACCTAGGGGCTTAGATAGTCCTATCTTCTATTTGGACGTTAGCAAGGTTAAAAGTGCAAGGCCGAGAGCACGCAGCTACAGGCAGCCTGTGGCATTAGCTCACAGAAATGGGCAGAAGGATGCCGATGGCACCAGGAGGCACTTGTCTAACAACAAACGACAACAATAAGCTGCTGAGAAAGAGGGCAGGGGGGAACAAAAGAATACAAGACATTTCCGTTTTTCTCCCGCTGGCCACCCACTACCATGCCCCCATCATGGTCTCCGGAGAGCGTTCTTCTTTGCATTTAGATAAAAGCACATCACCCACACTCACTCGTTTCTCTATTTTAAAAAGTGCCCAGATTGCTCAAAGATAGCAGAAGTAGGAGATTTGAAAAAAAAAAAAAAATCTGGAACCACAAAGAGGAGCTTCAGATGCTCTGGGGTTTGGCTGCTTAAGGGGCGGTAGAACACGGGTAGGTGCCTCAGTCACATCTCTGCAGCTTCCGTTCTCGCTCCTCACATGGGGGAGGTAGCGCACTCCGAGGTCAACTCCATGTCAAATGTGAGGGACTCTGAAGAGAGAGAAAATGCTGGTTCAGCCACCTGACCCTGGAGCAGGCAGGGCACATCCCCCCAGCCCTCAGGGGACAGGGCTCAGGTCACCATGCTCACCAGTCTTCTGCCCCTTCAGGCCAAAACAGGGTCAGAAAAGCCAGATTTCCTCCTCTTCCTACAGGGCCCTGCCCTCTGGAAGGGCTCAGCTTCTTTCCTACCTGACTCATTCCCAGCTCTCCATGTTTCAAGAAGATCTAAACATGGCAGCCTTAGGCACCAAGTGCCTAAAATGTGACTAGTCCAAATCAAGGTGTGTTACAGTTGTCAAAAGCCTACATTTAGAAGACTTGGAATAAAAAAAATGCAAAACTAATTTTTTTCTTACGTGTTGAAATGACAGTACATCAGATTTACTGGGTTCAATAAAATATATTGTAAAAATTAACTTCATCTGTTTCTTTTTACTGTCTTCAACAGGGCAACTAGAAAAATTATATTTATATTCATGGTGTACATTCTGTTTCTGCTGGAGAGCTCTAGAACCTCCTCCTACCAATGTGGTGACAGGCTCTGTACACATCAAGATCACGGAAAGTGGGCTGACATGCCTCACAGGGACAAAGTCTGAGCACCTAATACTCACCAAACTGCCCTCCTGCTGAGGGCTCAGCACCTTCACCATTATTTCCAAACTGCATCAATGAATCTAAAGTGCGGGGGGACATCGGCAGGTCAATGGTATTGCTGCAGGTCGTTCTGTAGGAAATGGGGAGCGGCAGGAGGGGAAAGGGCCGGGTTGACAAGACACAATGGAGGAAAAAAAAAAAAGAACAAAACACACACACACAAGCCATCAAACTCTGGTCTCCAACAGAAAAATAAAAGCTCAAGCTTTTTAAACACACAAGGTCACTCTGAGTGCTAAACACAGCCCAGGAGCTTCCAACCCTTCACGGGATACTCTCACCCGGTGTCCTCCCTATTCTTGGGGGATAACTGAGGACATCAGAAATGAATGCAACATTTGGGAAAGGAAGCCACTTACGGTGTCACACAGATAAACTTGGTCTTCAAGTATGGGGCAGCACCTGAGAAAAAGAAAACTGGACTTACTGATGGTGACCTATGTATACAGGACTGAAGGAAGCTGTTGGCCTCATTGATGCAAACGTGAAACTCCATCCTTATACAGATTGTCTGAAAACCTCCATCTGACCACAGGGGTTGCCCTTCCTCATCACGTACTATTTGATGTCTCAGGCATTTGCAGTCTGAAGTTCAATTCTTCATACAAGGCTTTGCCGAGCTGCAGAGACTGTGGTGTACCTTGTCTCACCTGAGCCTAGACTAATGGCAACCTTGTGTTCAGTTTTTCCTTGGATTATATAAACATTCAACTGTCTCCATGTGGTCTGAAGACTCTCCTCTTGCCTGGTCATATCTCTTAGATAATTTCTCTGCCTATAGGAACCAACTCTATATAGACTTGGCATAGTGTTCCACCCAGATACCAACATGACCCAGTCTTTACCAACATGACCCAGTCTTTAAGAGAACACAAAAACAATGGCTTCCCAAGCTGAGGGTTTTATTTCTATTCCTACAAGCACTATAATCTGCCTCTATCACACCTTTCTTTTTCTCTTTCTCTTTCTTTCTTTCCTGGGGATTGAACCCCAGGAAATGTAGCTCTGCCACTGAGCTACATCCCCAGTTCTTTTTATTTTTTGAGACAAGATCTTGAGAAGTTGTTGAGGGCCTTGTTAAACTGTTGAGTCTGCCACTGTCCTGCCTCAGTCCCCTGAGTTGTTGGGATTATAGGCGTGTGCCACCAAACCTGGCTTCTCGCACACTTTTCTAGGAGGATATTGGTAATCAGTTGGATAAATACATCCAAAAAAGGCAGCCTGTATACACAGGGGAGATGTCATGTGGTGCAGTACAACTGATCCAACTAGAAGTCAGGAGACCAGAGAGTCCAGGGACATCTTCAACAGCTAAGAGTCCTGGGGCGAGACACTTTCTCAAGTAGAGGAAGAAAGAGGTTCTGATCATCTATAATCCCAGTCATTTGTAATTCTGATTCTATTGTTAGAAATGTGACAATTAGAATCAATGAATTTTGGATACTGAATGCTTGCACTAAGAAGTCCTGGAGCCTTGAGAACCCTGGCAGAAGTCCAGGAGCCTTGAGGATCCAGGTGAACAAACTACATAGGAGGCAAGGTGTTTGGGTCAAGAAAAGCACAGACAGACACACGGGGGGATGAACAGAGAAACTGAGGGATCAGATGCATGATGAGAGTCTGAGAGGGCACCGAGGGGCAGCCTGTAGGTAGCTAGCCAAGTTTACTTTTTGACCAAGAAACAGATTAAAATCAGTACAGAATCCAAAGAAACTGTGGAGGCAGGGTTCTGGTGTCATAAATTCAACTCTTTTGGTCCAGATCCGAGAGGAGCTGACATCCTAGAGAGAAAAGGATTTCATTCTCCAGTGATCAAGGGAGCTGAGAAAAATAGCTTTACCCTAAGAGGGAACTGTGGAAGCCAAGAACTAATGCCCAATAAAGAAGAAAAAGCTGATTTACATGTGGCACCATACAAGGTTGTGAATGTACTTATCTAATTTATAAGTGGCTCAGAATCCTTCCTTCAGGCCAAAAGAAGATACTGTGTGGGATTCTGGTGGAAAAGTAAGGAGGAGGGAAGAGTCCTGGAAAGAGGATCTATCTCTGAGAAACTTCATACCATAATGCTCTCAAGATGGAAAAAGAGAAGAAATGGTCACAGGTTCATCTCCCTGAGAGTCTCATTTGAAAGTTCCTATTCCCTCGCCACACTCTTGCCAAGCTCCTATGCTCACTCACAAGGCAGGCACATCTTAGGTAGTTAGTTTCTTTATTGTGATCAGTGCCTGGCCCCCAAGGAATGTCTCCTGGCAGGAAAGGATGTGCCTCTCGCCCATGGGATGGATGGAGATGGAGGATGCAGCCTCAGACTGGGAGCTGGGATCTTGAAAGCAAAATTAGTCCAAAGGACCAGCACTTAAACCTCAATGTCCTGTGCAGAAAGAACAAAGAGTAGTGTGAGAAAGGCTGATAAACAGATCTCCTAACTGAAACACAAGGTGGAAAGAGAGATAAGCGGTAGACAGGAAGTGAAAGCTAAACTCTTCCACACTATGAACTGAACTCAATACCAGAACAAAGGGAAAAGGAAAGTCAACTGTCAACAAGCTCAAATTCCCTCTTCCAAGTCTCATTTCCCCCCACCCTGAAAAATCCTTGGAGGGAATTCCTGTAAAAGGGCAGGAGAGCAACCAGTGGGTTTGTGCGTGTGTGCTAACTGGACAAGAACAGTTTTTTGGTTTTTGCTTTTTAAATATATTTTTTTAGTTGTTGATGGACCTGTATTTTATTTATTTGTATGCAGTGCTAAGAATTGAACCCGGTGCCTCACACATGCTAGGCAAGTGCTCTACCACTGAGCCACAACCCCAGCCCAACAAGAACAGTGTTTTTGAAAAGCAACTGGGATAAGGAAGTCAAATCTCCAAAGGATTACTTTAAAGAGCCCACTGTTGGTTCTACAATTACAAAACATTAAATAAAGGGTAGGGGGTGTAGCTCAGTGGTAGAGCACTTGTTGAGCAAGTGTGAGGCCCTGGGTTCGATTCCTAGCACCAAATACATAAATGCAAAGATTTGGCAAATAGAGGCTCCTCATCAGCATGTGGACAGAGACTAGAGAGTCAAAGCAGCAAGCACTGAATGGGAACAGACCAGAGGACTCTACCTCCTCTATGCTTGGGACAGCCCCAGAGACTAGAGGCTTAACGTAAACTAACTTATATTTAACTTTTATAATATGCTCATGCACATTGAAAAATTTCTTATTTTTAATAGCTGTACATTCTAAATACCAATTTCACACCCCTCTCCCCTACAAACTTGACACTCCCCACTCTGCCGCAAACCAGGCTGCGATGCCACTAAGGACCATCTCCTCCAGCAAGCCCTCCTTCAGCTCACCTGACAGTGGCCATGCATTTAGTGATAATAAAAGAAAGCACACCAGACCCAAGGCAGAGTCTCAAATCTTCTGATATCTACTAGATAACAGTTATTTGGACATTTGCCTGTCTATCCTCTAAGAATCTTGTAGTTTCCAACTTCCCCCAAGAGGTAAATGCCATAAATGTGGAAAATCAACAACTACCTGGGTCAGCTTCAGGATGCTCCTGGCTTTCTGGCCGACAATACTTTCCAAATGCCTCCTCCTTAGGAATGTCAGGGTAGAGATAGACCAGTGGAGACACCAGGATATTGGTAGCGTCCATGATTTTATAGCCCATGATGATTTCAGCAAATGACATATTATTCAGTTGCTGCTTGGTATATGGTTCCACTGACTGGATCTGGGTCTTTCCTAATGGGATTTGGGAAGGAAAGATAATGAAACCCATAGCCAGTAATCTCAGAGAAAATGGCTTGTTTATCTTTTCTGAATGAAGAGTTATGCCAGCCCAGAGTTTGATACCCTGAATAGCCATCCAGTTGCGGGGCACTGTGAAAATGTTGAGATTGACTCTCCCCCGACTCTCCTTTTTTCTTTTGTGGTACTGGGAAGTAAATCCAGGGGTGCTTTACCACTGAGCTACATCCCCAGCCCTTTTTTTTAAAAAAAAAAAAATTTTTTTTTTAAAATTTTTAGACAGGGTCTCACTAAGTTGCTAAGGCTGACATCAAATTTTTGATCCTCCTGAGTAGCTCAGGTCACAGGCATGTACCACCATGCTTGGCTTAGGCTGACTTTGAGAGGCTATTTAGTTGGTTCCCAGGCATAAGATATATTAATAAGTTAGGGAAGAAAGGAGATGGGATAAAGAATAAAATTTAAATCTCAAATTAAATCAACAAATATCAGCCACTGGAGCAAGCAACCTGACAAAGCAATTCTTCCGCTGGGAGAATCTGAAGAGAAGTTACTCAACTGTATACAAGCCTGATCAGGAGAGGCAAGTTTGAGGCCAACTACGACCTCTAGGGGGCAGTCGGTGCTTGTGTCTAGTAGCAGCCAAGTGGTGACAGCAGAGCAAGAGCCAGGGGTGGGGTAAGCAGAGCCAGGCTTACCACTGATGTCCTTTTCCACCCAAGTGAAAGTGACTCCTCCTTCTTTGCTGCTTTCACTGAATCTCAGCAGGAAGGTACCTGGGGGCTTGGTGCTCAGGATGGCCCGCTCCCGCTCCTTACTGATGAAGCCCATTATGTACCTGGAGCCAAAGAGGGGCAACCACATTGTTAGAGGGCATCCCCAGCCACTGGCTTACTGAGAGAGCACGCGTGACATGTTCGCACGGTGCCCTCTTCCAGGCAGGAGTTTCAACCTACCCTTCATTCCAAAGGGCCAAGATGTACTTCTTCACAAGGTCAATGATATTGTCTAGCCAGACCCAGAAGGAGAAGCCCTTGCCAGCCATGTTTTCCTAGGGAAAAGAATAATAGGAAAGCTAAGTCCACCACCATCCAGCCTTTTCCCTATTGGAACACAGTATACCTCCAAAATCCTTCCAGCCCATTTACCCTCCAGGAGGTCCCACTGGCTGCTGGAGTAAGAGTTCAGATCTCTAGGCTTCGCGTCCTCTACAACTACCTCCCAGATGAGCACTCCACTCCCAAGAGGTGACCACAAGAATTTAACAAGATCACTTACTTTGCAAAATTTAGCCCATGTGATCTGACACCCTGAATAGTTCACACCAGGTCCTAAAGAAAAAAAAAAAAAACCAAGTAGAAAAGTTTCAGCTTTGTTCAAGATCTTATTTCTTAAAAACAGAAAGTTCCTAGCCCCACAATGGGCCAGGAACCACTGGCTTTCACGTGTGTGAAGGTAGCCATTGTGTGTGCATGCCTCCGTACATGTTTGCACAAAAACACATGCAAACACATATGCCCATACCTGTCACCTGATTCCCACACCCAAGTTGCCCTTTAGCCCAGCAGAGGGTGGGTAAGGATCAAGCCCCCCTGCTTTTCCTAGCCTGCTGTGGTGGGGACCAGGCACACACTAACCAGCTCACAGCTAGGATTAGATGGTTGCATTTTGTAGCAGCACAGGACAAAGCTACTTTTAACTTTGTGTCTAGATAACACAAAAAGTATTCTACTTAAGTTTTTTTTTTTGAGGGGAGAAAACTTAAAACCTAGTCTAAGTTTATTGAAGAAATGGATGGGAAATGTCAAGCCTTTAGTTCCATCCTCTAACACACACTTAAAGTATCTTCTAAGGTCAGACAGAGTACTGCCCTGGAAGGGCGAAGAAGACAGCAACCAAGAGAAAAGAAATCTTCCTCCCACCTCATAAAAAAATGGTCACCAGGATGCAAACTTGCTCAGTGCCCTGACTTCCCAACCTGGCACCAGCAGGGTGCCTTGTTCAAGGCCCCAGGCCAGATTCCTGGTCTGAGGAGGGCAGCGGGGTAAATAGGCAAGATGTAGACCTAAGAGTTTCTCTGCCAGCGTGGTCAGCTGCTCGATGCTCAGGCCTCGCTTGGTGGTGGAGGAGAACTGCCAGCTCAGCACCTCAGCCACTTGATCCCAGGTTCCAATTGGGGGCTTGGTGAAAAAATTCACGTTCTATTGAAAATAACACATTTGCTCATTTAGATGAGAGGGTAGTGCTAATGACCTGCCTCAGGTACCAAGAAGTTACAAGAGAACGTGGTTTCCAAGAGGTTGGGACACTAACCTTCGGGTTGTTGGTCAGCATATTATACCACAGGATTGAGGCCCAGGCATTTGGCATCTGACAGATGTTGGAGATCACCACAACTGGCAAGGAGTGGGTCTGTGGAGTGTGTGAGGGATGAATTAGGGAGGCAGAGGAGTTTTCACAGCTTCCAAAATCTCCATATTGCGCAGGTTTGGAGTAAAAAAAAAAAAAAAGCACACCTGCTAATGATTCTGGGCAAGGAGGAGGACAAGGACTCTCACTGAGTCAGCGCAAGGCCCAGAGGGAAAGCATGCCAAACACAGGCCGGGGCTTGGCTGTGTCTGTACCAGTAACTTGTACAATCTGACAGCTCAAAGCCTGACTCAAGCCCCCAGATCCCACCCTCCCCATTTTTTTTTTTTTTTAAGGAGGAAAGATGCATTTTGACTCATGGTTTCATTTTATTTATTTATTTTTCTGTGGTGCTGAGGATCAAAGCCAGTGGCAAGCACACCACCACTGAGCTACAACCCCAGCCCCAGATTCCCCATTTATAAGACTTGGAAAAGACATTCTCCAAAATCCCAAGAATCTGCATTTTCTCATGAAACACAACAGACTCAGAAATCAAAGCCTAGGATTCCTGCTTTTCCTAGTCTAATACAATTTAAAGATCAAGAAGGCATGCACAAGAATGCAAATGCCATGATTTTCTGCATACTCAAAACAGTGGCTGCTGGGGCTGGGATTGGCGGTACAGCACTTGCCTAGGACGTGCAAGGCCCTGGGTTCGATCTTCAGCACCACAGAAAAATAAATAGATAAAATAAAGATATTGTGTCCAACTGCAACTTAAAAAAAAATGGCTGCTAAGGATTTTGCCCAAACTTTATACAGTTGATCCTAATCATTTTCTAAATACAGTTTCTCATATCAAGTCTGCCAAAAGTCAAGTGTTCACACGTTTTCTAAGCATTCAAGCAAATTTTATTCTTGGATGGGACACCAAGAATCTTTTTGAGGAAAAAAACTAATAAATAAATATTATACTTAGGAAACTGTGATCATTCCACCTTCTCTAGTAATAAAATCTCACTAGACCTTCTTGTCCTGAGTCACCCCTGCATGTAAGGCCACCCCAATTCTGCAGAATTTACCTCTAGGTCGATCTTGAGGCCTTGGTGATACACCTCAGTCTCAAAGGTGATCAGGTGCAGCTCCTCGGTCACAATCAGGGAGGCCTACAATAGCAAGAAAGACACTCCTCTTCAGAGAGAAGGGAATTTGTTACCAACAGCCACAGTCTTAGAAAGTGACACTCCACAGCCTTACTATGCGAAGAAGGGTGAGCCATAGGACGGTCACAGACACATTACCAAGGATACTCACTGAGCACATGCTCTCTTTAATATGTGGACCCTCCGATGCTGACCTTCAACCTGATCTTTCACTTGGTTTTTATTATACTATCACACAAATCCTACAGGTTACTTATAAAGGTGTAAGGCATAAAAAACAACAAAACAATGAACACTCCTGCCACGAGTGGTGGCAGATGCCTGTCATCCCAGTGCTCAAAAGGCTGAGACAGAAGGATCACAAGTTCAAAGCCAGGCTTGTACAACTTAGGAAAAGGCAAAATAAAAACTAAAAAGAAATGGAGATGGAGCAAAGTGGTAGAATGCTGTAGGCTCAATCCCTACTTAAAAAAAGAACATCTGTGAATCTGCCACCCAGTTTGCTGACTGGATTTTCTTTCTTCTCTTCTTCTGTTGTTGTTGCTGCTGTTGTGCTGGAGATCAAACCCAGGGCCTCATGCCTCCTCTAGCCATGAACTACATGAACTACACCCCAAGCCCTACCACCCAGTTTAAAAGACCATTACCACTGAAATTCTGCAGATGTTTTTCCTCTACTCCATTTCTTTCCATCTTTCTATAGAAATAACTGCCATTTTATTTTTGGATTTATCATTTCCTAGCTTTTCTTTACAGTTTATTTATTTCTCTAAACAATCCGTATATTGTTTAGTTTGAGATGATTGTATACTTCAGACAGATGGAATCCCACTCTGTATTCTTTTGTGGCTCACTTTTCACTCAATGTGAAATTTGTGTGGGCACCTGCAATTTATTCTTTTTCACAGTTACATAGTGTTCCATTATAGGACTACACCACAACTCAGTTTTCCATTATAATGTTAATGAGTACTTCTCTAATTTTAAGTTCTAAATTAAAATGAAGTAGCACTGATATTTTGTAAATGTCTCCTGTTACTCTAATGCAAAGATTTCTCTATTGTTGAATCCTGCGAATACCTCTGCTTGTTTATTGGGTATAGTTTTTTTGTTTTGTTTCGTAAGAGTCAGAATCTCACTATGTTACCTGGGTCGGCCTCAAACTCCAGGGTTCAAGTGATCTTCCTGTCCCAAGCTATTGAAGAGCTGACACTTTAGGTGCATATGCCCAGCTATGTTCCTTTATTATAATGGCAAAATATTTTCAAAAGTGACTAACAATATTTACTCCCACCAGCAGAACAGCAACCTTACTTTTTTGTTTGTTTGTTTTTGTCTTTGGTACTGGAGATTGAACCCAAGGGCACTCTGCCACTGAGCTATATCCCAAGTCTTTTTTATCTTTCACTTTTAGACAGGGTATCACTAAGTTGCTGAGGCTGGCCTCAAACTTATCATCCTCTTGCCTCAGTCTCCCAAATTGCTGGGACTACAAGCGTGTGCCACAACACCCAGCAGTACCTAATTTATTTTTAAATATTTAGTTTTTAGTTTAACACAATATCTTTATTTATTTATTTTTGGTAGTGCTGAGGATCCAACCCAGGGCCTTGCATGTGCTAGGCAAGTGCTCTGCCACTGAGCCACAACCCCAGCCCCATCAGCAATCTTATTTTTAACAAGAGTTACAAATGAATTCTCAGAAATAGAATTACAATTTTTTTTTTCTTTTTGGTGCTAGGTCTTCAAGTTTGCTAAATATATGCTTTATCCCTGAGCAACATCCCCAGTCCTTTGAATTTATTTTTAAAATACTCCTTTTTCTGATTATGGAGGTAGTAAATTCAGTTTAATATGCAAATATAACAGATAATATAAAATAGCCTTGTCTATTAACATCATCACTAATATATAAGCTCTGTGGGTATATATTTCTCCAGAAGTTTTACTTTGAAACAGGCTCCTTAAGTTGCCCAGGGTTGTCTATACTCCTGGACTGAAGCAATAAATCCTCTTTGGCCTCCTAAGTAGCTGGAGCTATATACATGGGCAACCATGTCTGGCTTCAGAAGTTTTAAACATATGTGAATACATGTAAAACAGTGTAGTGCATTTTTTTTTTTTTTTTTTTTTTTTTTTGGTACTGGGGATTGAACTCAGGGGCTCTCTACCATTGAGCCACATCCCCAGCCCTATTTTGTATTTTATTTAGAGACAGGATTTCACTGAGTTTAGCATCTAGCTTTTGCTAAGGCTGGCTATGAACTTGCCATCCTCCTGCCTCAGTCTCCCAAGCTGCTGGGATTACAGGCGTGTACCACCACACCTGGCCAGTGTATTTTTTAAAAATGCACTACGCAAATTATTTTACATCTTGCCTTTTCTTTTTCTTTTTTGACTGCTAGGGATCAAACCCAGGGCCTCATACACGCTAGGCAAGTGCTCCACCAATGAGCTACAGCCCCAGCCCCAGTTTTGTTCTTAAAAACTTTAACTGGGATTTGTTACATTTATACCCTTTATTCCATCTCATTCGGAAAAATAGGTCAGTAAAAATGGAGCCAGCTGGCAAAAGATGGAAGGGAATTTGGAAAGCCCCAAGCAAGGTGGAAAGTGTCCCTCCTACCAAGTGGGTGTGGATAGCAACTCAGCAGGGGACTTTCCACTTCTCCTAAATGAGGAGCTAACTCCCCAGACACGTGGAGAAATGCTCCAAGCCAGAGAACGCCACTGCATACGGGCCTTCTGAACACCTCAGGGTGGCCCACAGTGACTTTTCTGAAGTAACAGCTTAAAGCCTCTAATTCTGGGCAATAAGAGGACTTTCTGTCTTTCTCTCCCTCAAAAGAACCCCCCCTCATTGGCTTTCATACCCAACAACTTACATCACAATTGGCGCGGCCCCCATTTCCACATCTTTGCTCCCTGAGGGTCTGTAAAAAAAGAAAAAGTCACATGAGGCTGTCCCAGCCCTTCACTTGGCCAGAGGCTCTATGTGAAGAGGGGTTCAGGCTCCTCTGACATACCAAGTGCTTGAATTCAGCAGAGAGGCTGCCATTGTTGGATTCTTCCATGTTCATCACTTTTGTGTTTGTGCCCAGAATGTTAAACTTCCGGGATCTGAATCACAGGAGAAAAACCAACCACAAGGGTGACTGAGTGGCCAGAGGATAATGTTAGATTAAACAAAACAAAAGGAAGCTTCTAGGCTTAACTTACCCTCTGAGAGCTGCAACGTCCCCAGAGTCTCTGTTAAGAACACAGATTAAGATTGGTGAGAAGACCAGCATTTCTTCAAAGATCCTACTCTGTGTTATTTACATGGATGGGAAATTCTTTAATTTAGTTACATTTTAGATGTGAAACATAAATCCCTGTACATGCTTAAGTAATAGACACTCCAGGGGAATCCTGGTCTTTACATTCATCAGAACATAGCATGCCCACAAACGAAGAGTCTAGAGGTGAGGACATGATCTACTTATAATTCTATCCTAGGCTGGACTTATATTTTTCTATAAGATTCAGCTGAACATGAGCAAGAAAGCACATGACCTTAATTGCTGCAAGCAACCATGTAGCAACCCAGAAGGGAAATTTGGAGGGCAAGAGATGGTTAATAATGGCAGAGGAGAGAGACAGATCTTGGATCCTTGAGGACTTCTATGAGTCATTGATCTCACTACCATTGGGAACTTGCCCAAACTCTGCATTTCCAGTTATACTGGGTTGCAAATATCCTAACTTAAGCCACACTGGATTTTCTGTAAAGGTCTGCTGTTTCCTGCAACTCAGAGCAAGCACTTTCTTTGAGACAGCTGGAAATATTCTTCCAGTGTGATCACTCTATTTTAAAACTCTGTTGTTGAATATATCATTTTTTTAAAATACTGATGTTTTAGTTGTAGTTGGACACAATACTTATACACAATATTTATTTATTTTTATGTGGTGCTTAAGGATCGAACCCAGGGCCTCACATGTGCGAGTTGAGCGCTCTTCTGCTAAGCCACA